GAATGCAATAAAATTGAAATAATCGAAAAAGTACTCGTTTCTTGGAGTTTTGAGAACGTCTGATCACTAGTTACCGTTTCTACTGCAGTCGATGCTACTTTTCCATCGAAAATTTCTTGTAGATTATTATTTTCATATGACAAAATTGAATATTTGTAAAGGGAAGTTATACATTGAAATAAATTCGGACAGTAAAGAAAGTGTTCTTTTTTTGAAATCATCAAGTATTCACAATAGTAAACTGTGAACATAGTAAAATTGATATAACAGAATAAGTACAACTTTCTTGGAGTTTTGAGAATGTCTGATCACTAATTACCGTTTCTACTGCAGTCGATGCTACTTTTCTATCGAATATTTCTTGTAGATTATTCTTTTCAAATGACCAAATTAAATATTTAAAAAGGGAAATTACAAATAGAAATAAATTACGTTAATAAGGAGAGTATTTGTTTCTTGGATTTTTAAAGGTGGTTTGACTATTGATTGGAGTTTCCAGTCTACTAAACTGATGTAAACAAACTCAAAGAGTTTGGAAAATACATGTCGAAAGTGACTGATATCGTACTGGACATACTTTTGATCAATATCAGTTGGTCTGACCACAGACTACTATTTTTACTTTATCTTGGAGTATAAATTAATTATAGATCAAGTCTACACCCTGAATATTCATGTAAAATATACGGAATAATTCGACGAAATCGTTGAAACATAAATCAGGTCACACAGACATAATTTTTTTGAGTTTCGAGGAAGGCCGGTCGTAAAGTGCCTTTTCTACTTCGGCTTAAAATAGATTTCTGTCAGAAAGTCCTTTGTGACATAGCGACGTTCGTGGAAAAGCCACAACATTGAGGAACAATACATACAAAACAGTGAAGTTGCAGCAATCAATTCCTTTCGGCAAATTTAAGAAAAGAAATCTACCGAAGAAGTGCCATTTCTATGTTTCCTTAACATAGAGACGTATTCCACGTCTTTTCCAGATAAAAGAAACATTCATATAAAACGCAACAATTCATTGAAAGTGAATTTTAGAAAACACAATAGATTGCACTAATTATTCACTTCTTAAGATTCAAAAAAAAATAAATATTATTGTAAAATTTTGTAGAAAATAGGAATGTTTATTCAGGGAACAACAAGCAATTCACAAAATAAACAAGTCCAAAACGACCATTTTGCAAAAATAAAGAAAAACTAAGTCTGATCATTGATCACCATTTCCACTTCCACTGGAAGTACCTTCCAATCAACCAGAAATTCTGAAGGACTAACATTGAATCGCGTCGTTATTAATGTTAAGGCGTGAAAATGTCAATATTGACGAATCGGTTTTTTTGTACAAAATTTCTGAAGAGGAACTCTCGATCACAGGACTGAACGTAAAAGATAAGATAATTTTGCTGCGCGTAACTCGTTCCGTCTATTCTCTCTAATAGTAAAGCAACGTTTCAAATGAAATTCCGATACCAAACTTGATTCCCTACGTACATCTTTAAATATCACTAATTCTGAATCGTTACGCGAATTGAACAGTTATAAAACTTTCAAAATCCAGCTTTAATAAAACTCGACTCATTTTTGTTCAGAGAATCGACCAAACAGGAAAATTGCTTAACACATTAGCTTTTGGTGATTATCCGTCACAATCCACTGAGATTAGAACTAAAATCACGGAAATACGTCACATTCTGCATTCAACAGTCCAGTAAAATATCTTTTAAACTCAATTTATTTCAATGAATCCTCATTAATAGCGTTTAAGAAATATTGTCTCTTTCGACAAGGTTTTTTCACGTGTATGGTAAAAATAATTGCTACGTAATTCTCCACAACTTTTTCAAGAATCTATATTAATTCGTCAATGAACAAATTCGTCTGCATACAGAAAAGGCGAATAAATTATTAATGGTATTACACATATTCCCATTTATTAAAATCCTCCATCGTTTCTGATCAATGACGCTGCATCATACTCAATAAAATCCTCTTCCCCCTCTCCGTTACAATCCACAGAAACGTAACCCAACAACGTGATTCGTCGTATGCGTATTACTCTTGGACGTTTACGCAAATATAGATTTTTGTGGTCTATTATATAAAGACAGGAATCAAATAGAAATTTGTTCACCTCTCTAATATTCCTACACAATTCTCCAGAAAATAAAATCCTCACTGAACAATTGTTAAAAATTGACCTGTACCGAGTTCAGGACAATCCAATTAGAAACACAAAAATTTACAAAAATTATTTCAGCGTATACATCAGTCTGTATTATTTCCAAAAGACTGTCGTATCTACAAAATATCGATCGAACATGAAACGATCGAGGTTTTAGTTTCGTTTGCCACAGCCCAATGCGATAATAAAGAGGGAAACGTCTGATATCGTGTCACAAGGACAAAGGGACCTGTTTTCGTTCATTTTTTAAAATAAATCTAGGAAATCAGCGAAAGCAGGGGGGGGGGAAGAACCGATCGTGGATGAAATCAATGTCGTAGCGTCCACGAGCCTCTCCAAAGATAGCTGGGTATCCATCGTAATCTGTATATCAGTGTCATTGAGATAAAACGTTTCCTTTGGAATGTTATTCGCGTTGTCAAAAGACCACGCACGGTGTGCCATTAACGTCGTCGCTGGCTATTACTCACACGCTCGTTGTATGACACACAGACTGTGCAGAAAACGATAGATTTCGCGGGAATGAATTTTTCCTACCAATGGAAATCGGCGATCTAACGAACAGGTATTTTCCTCTGCGACAAGTCTACGTCGAACGGAGGACTTGTTGCGTTTTCTCGGAACCGGCGTGGAAACGCTTCCGACGACGGTTCCGATTGCGCAACACCGACGTTCTATTCAACCGTCGGGCATTGTCGTCGAATTTGTCACGGAAAAATCGGTGTCATTGCCGGAAGAACGTGCGTGAACCTATATACAGTCGACTTGATTCACCTTTTTTTTGGGGGACATTTGGGCTACTTTCTATTGTTAGGTGTACCAGTGAGAGACCAATCCAGTGTTATCTTAATTGTGAAGCGACATATTTTAAATTAAACGTGTTTTCCTCGATCTTTTGTTCGGTAACAATGGTGTAGAAACGAGTACTGATATCGTTACGGAATAGTGGATTATTTATTGATAGACCTAAATGCTGTTGGTATTCTAGAAGTTTCGATCAGGTAGAATAAATTGAATAGCTATTCTTGAAGTTTCGGTCAAGTAGAATAAATTGAATAGGTATTCTAGAAGTTTCGATCAAGTAAAATAAATTGAATAGGTATTCTAGAAGTTTTAAATGTGTAGAATGAACCAATTAAATAGTTGAAATGCTTGATGTCAGTAGAATGAATCGAGTATAAATGTTCCAAAGGTTACGAATAAGTAGAAAAATTCGAGTAGATTTCATGTAAGTAAAATGAATTGAAAATTCTACATTTCGAAAAAAAATGTGTGTTTGTCGTTAAAAAAAAGTCACACTCTATTATGACTTTTGATAGTTTTGGTCGATTTCATTTTTTAATGATTTGTTTTTTCTTCGTGATACATCTTACAGCTTTAGGGCTTGGAAAGATTTTAATTTATTCTACTTTTTGAAGCTTTTGTGGAGTATTTCTGGCTTTTTGAATGTTATGCGGTGTTTTAGTAAGTTGTTCTACTTCTTTGAGAAGGCTGGGGTAGTTGATCGATTTATTCTACTTGTTTGGAACCCGCAAAACATTTGAATATTCTACTTGTTTGAAGCCTGTAGGATACATGCATATTCTAGTTGTTTGAAACCGGTAGAACACTTAAATATTGTACTTGTTTGACATTTTTCACGTAGTTGTTTGATTTTGTCTGTTTTCGTTTTTTCGAAATGTAGAATCTTCGATTCATTCAACTTACATGAAATCTACTCGAATTGTTCTACTTATTCGAAACCTTTGGAATATTTGACATCAAGTATTTAATCGGTTCATTCTACATATTCAAAACTTTTAGAATACCTATTCAATTTATTCTACGTGTTTGAAACTTTTAGAATACCTACTGTATTTATTCTACTTGTTTGAAACTTCTAGAATATTCAATTGATTTATTGTCCAAATTCGAAACACTAGAGTATTCTCGCGATTTATTCTACTTTCCTCGGAACGTCTACAGTACTTCATTAGCTTATTCAACGACTTCGAACCTCGTGCAATATCGACGCAATTTATTAAATTTTATTCTGGACCGCATGCTCACTTCACTTAATCTTTTGGAATCTCTAAACTACTTGCTCAAGGTATTTCACGTTATTCTACTCTCACTGAACTTGATTTCTTCAAAACATGACCTTCCATAGAATTGGCCTTAATGTATTCTGCTTCCTCCATTCCACCTGTTTAAGTTATGCTACTTCATTTCAATTTCAGCAACTTTAATCGTTTTAGAAACGGTACTATTAAAGAACCCGTTATTTACATATAATTTATTTTAAGAGAAAAATACCTTCCACAAACAAGATATTAAGTACCTTTCGTATTGTCTAGTTACAGAATAATTCATTAGTGCCTATTACTCCCAGAGTACCAACTATAACCTTCTTTTTAATGACTTGTGTATGTCTATTAGAAGTTCATGTTCTCACCTATATCATACCACTGCTCTTATAACTTATTCATAACAGAATCTATAAAGCTACCCATATCCATCAATCTGTACATCGATGACCTTTGCACCGTTTCAAATCATCAAGTCCATACAAAAAGTAGACCCTAAATCATACTAATTCCCAGAAATCCAGCCTTGCATCTACCTGACACAATCCCCACGTAAATTCCTGATTCACCAAAAACCCGGAAGTACATTTCCTCATTGAGTCATCACAATCTTACACTGGAGTCCTAACCCATTTCAAAGTCCTAACTCATTCCAGAGTATTAAACCCACTCCAAACTCCCAAATACCCTAACAAACCCCATCGATCACCATTCGCACGAGCATACCCTAAATGATCTCTACTCACCATAGCCGCAGTCTGCGAGATCTCCGGCGCCTCATCCTCGCTCCTGACGCACGCGACAGCAAAAAGCACCGCCAGCAGTACACTTCCGGTACACCATTTCCATCTCATAGAACCGTTCCGCCTGGCCATGGTTCTTTCTCCTTTGAAAATTAACTAATTGACAGACCCCAACCAAAAATGATCTGGAATACTTTCTCCGTCTGCTAAGACGTCAGACTTTAATTCCCAACGGCGGGTTCACAAAAAGGGCTACCCAGAACCCGAGACACACTGACACACGTGGCTTCCGGATCACGCTGGATCGCAGGACACCGCGCGCGCGCGTTTGTCCTCTCGATCACTCGAGTCCCCTGTAGGATCGAGACAGGTCTCTCTCCTCTCTCTAGCCTGGTCTCTAGACAATATCGATCCCCTAACCGCCTCGTTTGGTTACGTTCCACGATATCGGGGACCACCGTTTTGCACGGCTGTTCAAGCGACAGCCGCCCTGGCGGTTCCTCGAGGTGAACCTCTTGCCTCGTACTGACCAGGTGGATTCCCACCAGGTGTAAGTCAGTCGGACGGTGGCGGCAGGGTCAGGTCTATCGTTGCCACGACACTATCGATCTCTCGACGTTCTCCACCGCGTGTTGGCTGTTGCTGGCTTCGCCACTGATTGTCTCCTCCTCCACACACGTTTCCGTAAGCTTCTCGTTGGCCACGAGTTTCGTTTGTTTGTTGGTTCTTGGTTGGTTCCTTCGAGCTGGAGTCTCTTCGTTTTGGCCGTGACGCTGATCACGGGCACACGAAGACTACTACGGTCGGACTGGTGACTGTTTTCTTGTTTTTCGACGATGCTGTCTCGCGGTGGCGAAATCCAAACAGAGAGAGAGAGAGAGAGAGAGAGAGAGAGAGGAGCGTGGAAGAGAAGAGACGCGGAGGAAGAAGAAGAACGTGCGTGTACGCGGCCGTACAGGGGACTGGTACCGGTGTCTACCGCCACTCTGAATTACAATCAGTCTGCCACTGACTTTTATTGAGGCCTCCCACCACGCGGACAGCGCGACCGTATCCCCCACACACATCAACGGCCTGGCTGGTATACCCTGTCTGGTACACGCGTCGGGAGACCCTTGGAACTCTGTTATCGGGCTTCGTGGATCGTTAGGCTTTCCCGGTTCTGCTGGAGATTTTGGATCGAGGATAGGGGAGACTCGGTGATGGATGTAGGGGGATATGGTTGTGGATAGATGCACTGGTTTCTTGGTGTTTTGTCAGTGTAACAGGTTTTGAGGGATTTTGCTGTGGATGCTATGATTGACGTAGTTCTGTGGAAGGAATAAAGGATTATGTATCGATGTCAATGTAAGAGAGTTTAGCGGTGTTTAGGTGATAAATGTAGAGGGATAGTGGACAGATACACTGATTTTTAAGTGTTTCGTTAGTATCGAAGTTTTTATGGATTTTGCTGTAGATAATATGATCGATGTGGTTTTGTGAAAATAATAAAGAATTATGTATCGATGTCAATTGATGTTTAGATGATAAAGCTAGAGGGAAATGGACGTGGACAGATGCACTGGTTTCTTGGTGTTTTGTCAGTCTACAAGGTTTTGAGGGATTTTGCTGTGGACACTATGATTGACGTAGTTTTATGGAAGGAATAAAGGATTATGTATCGATGTCAATGTAACAGAGTTTATTGGTGGTTAGGGGATAAAGCTAGAGGAATAGTGGACAGATGCACTGATTTTTAAGTGTTTGGTTAGTTCAGAAGTTTGTATGGATTTTGCTGTAGATAATATGATCGATGTGGTTTAGTGAAAATAATAAAGAATTATGTATCGATGTTAATTTAATAGGGTCAAATGAGAAAGCTAGAGGGAAATAGATGTGGATAGATGCACTGGTTTCTAGGTATCTGGTTAGTGCAGAAGTTTTAATGGAGATTGCTATAGATAATATGATCGATGTGGTTTTTCTGGAAATAGTAAAAAATTATGTGTCGATGTTAATTGAACATAAGTTAATTGGTGTTTAGATGATAAACACAGAGGGTTATGGACGTGGGCAGATGAACTGATTTCTAAATATTTGGTCAGTGTAGCAGTTTTGATGAATTTCGCTGTAGATAATATAATCGACGTGATTTTAATAGAACTAATAAGGTTTTATATTAATGTATTATGTGTCGATATCAATGTAATAGAGTGAATTGGTGTTTAGATGATAAAGCTAGAGGGAAATGGACGTGGACAGATGCACTGATTCTTAAGTATTGGGTCATTGTAAAAAGTTTTACTGGATTTTGTTATAGATAATATTATCGACTTAGTTTTTGTGGAAACAATTATGTTAATATACACTGCTGAAAGGAATTAGAGGATCGTTAAGGTGGGTGGTCCTGACATTCATCAAGTGAACAAAAGAGTGCTAAATTAATATCTTTTCTGTGCAAAATTACAACTATTAACATCTAGTTACATGTGTTTAAAGAACTTTTCAGAGATTATACATTGTATTGCTGAAAGTGAATTGTTGTTTAGAAGAAAAATGAATGCGATTGAGTGTGGTTTATTGTTTAAACTACAATTGAAATTGAGCTTTTGAAAATGAAAGGAATAAACGTTATAAATACCATCGAAACCTTTGTGATTTGTTTACAAGAGTTGTTTGGTTTATCCCACTGTATGGTGATCTGTAAGTTTAGTATAAAAAATTTGTTTATTAGAATAAAAATTTCTGTTGCAAATACATATATTGTAAAAGAATCATTGTGTATTTCAAGCAATTATTATAAGAATATAATTAAAATTATTATTAGTCTACTATTTTACAGCAAAAAGCATCAGATATTCCATATTCACTTAATTGTTTGGACGAGACGGAAATATGGTATAATGGAATGATTGCACTATCGATTTAATGCGTCTATAGCAAACTCATTACACATAGTAAAACGCTTATTAAGGGTTTTATTTGATTTAGGTTGCCCTACACGCTGTGGTTAAATGATAAATGATTCTAATCAAGATAATGATACTGGATTTTAATATTTGCTCAATTTTTCTACCTATAGTGAATCTTTTAAAACCCATCGTTCGAATACACTATCCTACTTACTGTAAGTGTGAAATCGATTAACATTCGAGAGTACATTTTGGATTTGGTTCCATCAGTAATCGAAGTGAACGACACCGTTTTGATTAGCGTACAGGACACCCGTGTAATATTGCGAGTACGTGTTCTGAGTACCATTCGGCGGACGCTAAGGACAGGATATATCCTTGCTGTGATGTGATCTGATTGGAATTGAATAAGGATAATGGCTGTGTTGAATCGATAAAGCTCCGAGATTAAGATCCACGAACGCGGGACGTTGCGTCGCGAAATCTTCAGGCGACTTGTTTCCGTGTTTTACGACCTTGAGTTAACTTTGTGTGAGATGTTTGTGATAGAAGAAAATGGTCTATGTTGTTGGAAACATGTATTTATTGGTACATGTCCAATTGGATTAAACCTCTGGAAGACAGACGACTTTGATTAGGTCCTCATTCGTCATTCCTTCTACTAGTTGTACCAATAAGTAGTTCACTATTTCTTTTCAGGAAACTTGTGATAGTTCAAATTCAAGACATCTTTCTGCTCCCTTCATCTTTATAAATGATAAAGGGCTTCGAAGAACGTAAACATATCGCTATTTTGGACGAAAACCGAAACAACTATAAAAATTGAAATTTAGATTGAATATTTGAAAATTAGAAATTTCTTACTATTTGTATTACCACGAAGAAGATTAAACAGGGTAAAAAAGATTATTGATAAAATTTTGTGAAAACCAGCGATATTTGACTTAAAATTTGATTAAATCTTTAAAAGGCGTTTTCTCTAAACTGATACCTTTTGAGATCCAGTTTTCTTCCAAAGTAGCGATATTACTGAAGTGACCATAGGTTTTCGATTTTCCAGAGAAAAAGAGTAATGAATTTGACTAGGTATAATGGATTACTTATTGATACACGAAATAAATGCATCATGGAATGAACTTTTCTCTAAATTTGCCGTCGTTTTATTCGACCGAATATAAACAGCTATTAACTGAAATTAATTATCAGAAACTATTGAATTGGATAAGGTTTCTGGCAACTCATGTCAAAATCGATCCAGTTGTCCCCAACCAAGGGCTAAACGACCAACGTTGACGGAAAGATTCATTGCGAAGATCGATGAAGCACGTCGCGTACGGAAATTTTTTTGTCGATCGTCCCGACCCGCTGCAAATTAAAAACGAAACAACGGAAAGAAACGGGGACACAACGGGCCTGTAAACAATACAGTTTACGTCAGCGACGCAAACTATTTTCAGAGACGTTCGACTATTTCGGCGTCGCTGGATCATTTATTCATGGCGTCGCGCGGCGGACAGGTATTCGCGGAATGGCTAGATGCGCTCGCAAAACAAACGCGAGTGTTTTTTTCGCGGAGAAGCCACCGTTCTTTGGGATTAATGTCCTTCGATGTTCATCGTTAGTGGTGGTATCTCCGAACAAACAGGTCCAGAGACATGTCTAATCTTTTACGAGCCTTGAGAAGTTTGAAAAGTACAAATAAAGTTTGGCCGTGGTAAGGCGTTCAATCTAAAGGACACGTTCGAATTTTCTTAAATGTTTGGAAAGTTAAAATTGTTTGGACAGTTTGAATACCTCACTACGATCAAACTCTGCTTTTGAAACGTTGAAACTATTTGGAAATTTTTTACGTCTGGTCAACACCAAATTCTGGACTATTCAAACAGAGGATTGCGCTCAAATTTTCTAAACATCTGAAACGTTTGAACTGTTTGGAATGTTTGAACAATATACCACGAATATTCTTTGTTCGTTTGAAATGATTCAACCATTTGGAAAGTTTAAACATCTCGTCACGATTAAACTCTATTTTTGAAACGTGTGGAAATTTTGTACGTCTGGTCATGACTAAACTCTGTTTGGACTATTCAAACAGAGTATCGAGTTCAAAGTTTTCAACCAGTTTAAACGTTTTTAAACTTTATACGAAACCTATAGTTCAGACGTCTCGTCACAGTCAAACTCTGTTTGGACTATTCAAACACAGGATCATGTTCAAACTTTCCAAACATTTGAAACGTTTCAAAAGTTTGAAGGATACCTTTGGTTTGAGTACCTCGCTATGAACAAACTTTGCTCTTCA